AAAAAGCTTTGTTTCCTTTGTGTGAGCTTGTTGTACCCCGAATTTTTTGGCGGGGGGTCGAGTCGCTGCCCCTTTTTAAAATCATTTTCTGAAACCCATTAAGGTCATTGGTATCTTGGACCCTAACGTACCTATCCCTTTCAGCTCTGAAAAAAATTCTCTTTTTTCATTTTGTTTGTTTTCTCTCCGTACACCCCGTTGCTTTTTGGGGTTTTTTTTAAGGGCCCTTTGGATCCGTGTGTGTGTGTGTTTTGTGTGTGGTGGTGTGTGTGTGGGGGTGTGTATGTGTGTGTTGGGTGTGTGTTGTGTGTTTTTGTGTGTTGAGGGTGGGGGTGGGGTATGTATTTACGCGCGCATGTTTTGAGGGGTATAAAAGGGTTTTTGTACACAAAACACACACACACACACCCCACATACCCCAAAACACACACACAAAAACGCACACACACAACACACACACCAAACACACAAAAAACACCCCACACACACATACACACACACACTTACACACTCACATACACACACACAAAACACACGCACACACACATACACACACACCACACACACAACACACACACACACACACACACACACACACACACCACACACACACACACACACACACACACACACACACACCCCACACACACTCACTCACACACACACACATACCACACACACACACACACACACACACAGCACACACACAACCACACAAAACACACACACACACCCACACACACACACACACCACACACACCACACACCAGCTTAACTTATAACCTTCAACATATTTCCAAGGAACAATCATCCAAGAAAATCTTATCATCCATCTTATCATGCATCATACTCATCGTATAATTGAAGAGTATGATTGTTCCGTCTCACTGAAAGATAACCCTGATCTAAGATTATTGTCTTCGTGGCTAAATATAGTGCTGTTGTGCAACCCTAAAATATGACAACACTCTCTATTATTCCCATTGTTTCCACGCTGTCTGGGGTAGGTTATGACGTGGGTTATTTACCCTGGTTAATACAACACAGCTGTGCAGTGTCGTCTCCCAGGTTAATACAACACAGCTATGCAGTGTCGTCTCCCAGGTTAATACAACACAGCTATGCAGTGTCGTCTCCCAGGTTAATACAACACAGCTATGCAGTGTCGTCTCCCAGGTTAATACAACACAGCTATGCAGTGTCGTCTCCCAGGACAGAAAATAGCAACTTCTTCCTCCTTTTCTTTTTCCTTCTGCCTCTTCTTCTTCTTTATCTTCTTCTTCTTCTTCTTCTTCTTCTTCTTCTTCTTCTTCTTCTTCTTCTTCTTCTTCTTCTTCTTCTTCTTCCTCCTGCACCTTCTTCTCCTCGTCTAGCTTCCATGGCGCCAGTAATGACCACTGGCTGTGAAGACTCAACACGTAAGGTTAATAATTTTTATTTAGCTCTACATCAGCCAGATTATTTTTTTTCATAAAGACAGAAAATGTTTCTGCAGGAAGCATAGAGAAGCTCACGTCAGCAGCTGAAGTTCTTAATATTTCCTAGAGCAAGAATACGACAAGGACACTTGAAAAAATGCTTCATCGAAGCAAGAAAAAATGCTTCATCGAAGCAAGAATACCTGATCGCCTTTATTTGTTTACATACCTATCTACGAAGAGTTTTTTCCGTAAGAACAGTTGCTGGCAAACTCGTGCCATCCATGGAGAGTGTACTAATAAGAGCGACACAAGAGTTATCAGGCTTGTTCCATTACTGGAGAGTGTACATAGAAGAACTACCAAGCTTTTACCATCACTGGAGAGTGTACCAAAATCGAAACGAAACTTAAGAAGAAAGACTCCAAACAATCAATCTTTATTTCTAGTGTAAACAGAGATTATGAGGTCTCATTCAAACCTTAAAATATTAAAAGGCTTGGAGTCACTCAAAAATGAAGACCTATTTAAAATTGCTGAATGAGTCCATAACTCGAAAAAAATTAAATTAAACTACGAGGCAGAAGATGCAACACAAAAGTATGCAAGTCTTTTCTCAAGCAGAATCGTAACAGATTGGACCGGCAAATGTAAGCTAGAGAGGTACTTTGCAAATGCAGAATTCGGCCAGATACACCGTGCCCGGGTGGGTACAGTTGCTTAAGTCTTCAGGCTCGCATACTCAGAATGCTTCAGTTATTCGTGGCTGCTGGGTCAACCCAAAATTTTTACATATTAGAAAAAGTAATAATGAGTTTACAGTGACCAATGAGGTACATATAAGGTAAGGTGAGAACAGAAGCAAAATGTTGCCAACACTGCCTCACTCACCTGCTCACTAAATTCACAGTAAACCCATTCAGATCATCATATACATTCAATAAATGGGGCAGTCTGAAGTCAACAGACAGCCTCGATGTGGACTTCCATGTCCTCCGCTGTCCGCCTTTCCCAAGTATTCCCATGCATATCATAAGCAAATATGAAGTGCAAAAAACGCTAATTGCTCTGAGATGTTGGTGACTACAACCCCAGCTATGGTGCCAGTGTAGGAATAATAAGAATGGAGTACTGCGTGACTCACGAAATCGTAACGACACGATTGTAAACAAACCATACCACGGGCGGGGATAGAACCCGCGATCAGAGAGTCTCAAAACTCCAGACCGTCGCGTTAACCAGCTAGCCACAATAAGATTCATCCAACTAGGTATATTTCCACACCATAGGAAGGTTAGCATAGGCACCACTGGAGTACTGGAGTAGTGCATATAGCCTATATTAGATCCTTAACAGATAATGCTACGCCTATGCTAATTTTATCTAAAGAAAATTCTCTCTTGACCATGGAATTGAGGCAACACGGCGTCTTCAGAATTATTCACGTCTGACCCAAAACTACCAAGATTTATAATCCGAGTAATGAACTGAGTGTTCATAGCTTGAGTTAGAGTATAATTAACACCTTTAAACCAGATAAAGTTTTCTAGTGAAGCAGAGGAAAAGTCTTAAGAAACTTGAGGTTTAGTGTGTGTGCGTGTTAAGGAGCTGTTCAATTAACCCTGGATGACTGACTTTGTTGTGTAATATGACTTAGCTGCTCCCTCATGCCTCCCTGACCTCACTTGACCCTCCCTTCCTCTCTCAAATTCAAATTCAAATTCAAAGTTTATTCTCTATAAAGATTACAATGTTGAATTTACAGAATTTGGTTGTGTGGTTTACATGTAGTTAAATAATGATTACAGAGTGCACCACTAGAACGCCTAGCATGGCTAGGCATTTCGGGCAGACTTAGTTTAATTCTTTATTTTAAAATATTACAAATTATGAGGTAAGTTGGTATTATGGCTAAGTGACTAAATACTAGTTTGTGAGTTTAGCAATGTGAATACTTTTGTTTTGGCACAGTACATAGTTTCAGTATTGGAGTATCATAGGATTCATTATTTTAAGATTGAGATTAATATTTCTGTTTATGGTCAAATGGGTGAGTGAGTGTAAGTGTGAACCACCAGGTGGTATTCGTGTAGTTAGTTGACGGGGTGTATCAGGGAGATAAGATGTTTTCTAATGGTAGTTTTGAAGGTGATGAATGTGTCTGCAGTTCTAGAGTTCTCAGGTAGGGTGCCTTTGACATACATTGAATTTTTGTAAAGGTTTAGTCGGACACGGGGAATGTCGTAGAGATATTTGTGTCTGGTGTTATGCCTGTGGCAAACACAGAAAATTAAATTTAAGAATAAATTTAACTTCAAAGGTTAATTTTTTTTCACAGTAAGGCAGGATGATAATATATTCTACTCTACACAGATAACCTGTACGTAAGAGAATGAAACTTATGGCGACGTTTCGGTCCGACTTGGACCATTAACTAGTTACACAGAAGCTCCCTTCCCTTCGCTCTTCTTGTACTATTTAATGATCCAGGTAAGATCGAATTCGTCAGTATAATTCTTCCATGTGCGGTTATTAGTGTATTGTTCCAGTCACGTACCGTCCTTTTTATTTATTTTCATCTCTCTCTCTCTCTCTCCTCTCTCTCTCTCTCTCTCTCTCTTCTCTCTTCTCTCTCTCTCTCTTTTTCTCTCTCTATCTCTCTCTCTCTCTCTCTCTCTTCTCTCTCTCTCTCTCTCTCTCTCTCTCTTCTCTCTCTCTCTTCTCTTCTCTCTCTCTCTCTTCTCTCTCTCTCTCTCCTGGGGCACTATTGGCAGTTCTGAGAGGCGTAGTAATGAATATTTGATGCTGCTGTTAAGGTCACCAGGAGAATGAATGGTGATCTTAGCTATAAAACGTTCTGACTACTTAATACTTTTTTTTTTTTTGGCCTCACAGCTATATCTGAAACTCGACTTCTCTATTGACCGCCTTGATCAGTTAGGTTGTTCCGACCTGCAGCTCGCAGCGCTAAATAGCTCTCACGGTCTAGCTGATCAGACATCCCCTGCAGAACCTCCTGCAAAGTCTCCTAAAAGAGCCTCTTGCAGAACCACCTTCAAGAGATGCATATGTATCAGCATATAATTCTAAAAATATATATATTAATCTTCATTTTAGGACTTAAATTATCAATGACTGGTGGTAAACGGATGATGCATTGCCTTAATGACATGTTTCAGTAGATAGGGTTTAAACCCAAGAAGCCGTCATATTGCTAAAATGATCAGGCAAAGATCTGAATGATCTTGGTTTGGGTATGAGTAGAATCGCACAGAATATGTACACTGAGATATATATATTTTTTAGTGTATATACTCTGAGATTTTCCTTTAAGTCCTATTTTAGTTATTAAAGTATTCTTGACTGGTGGTGAACAGATAACATGCAGCTTTAATGACCCTCGTGTAATAAGCTTTCAACCTCATTAGCCATCCAACCAGCCTTTATAACCCTAGTGTAGTAGAGAAACTTGAATCCTTATTTAAAATCTGTGATGTATGTTTACCTTTCTGTGATGTTTCGTGTTTTTCTGGACGTGATATATCTTTTCCTGGCTGTGATGTTGTGTGTTTTCCTCTACAGACGAGATCAGAACGGGTACCTACCGTAATCTCTTCTCCCCTAATTCCTTACACACTGGCAAGGAGGATGCTGCCAACAACTACGCTCGTGGTCACTACACTGTTGGTAAGTGTTTTCAGGGGTGCTCAGGGGATTTGTCAACAGAGAGAGAAAAGGATTCTCCTTACTCTACAGAAGATATTCTTCTTCCCTTCCTTACCTAGTCAATATCTCTCCCTCCCTGAGCCACTATCTCTCCCTCTCTAAGTTACTATTCCTCCCTCCCCTTTGAATCACCATCTCTCCTCCCTCCACCTCTGCGTCTCTGAGTCACCATTTATGCCTCGTGCTGCAGGTAAGGAGCAGCTGAATGTGGTCCGTGACACCATCAGGAAGCAGCAGGAGCAGTGTTCGGGTCTTCAAGGTTTCCTCGTCTTCCACTCCTTCGGTGGTGGCACTGGCTCTGGCTTTGGCTCACTGCTCATGGAACACCTCTCACTCGACTACGGCAAGAAGTCCAAGCTCTGTTTCTCTATATACCCAGCGCCCCAGGTAAGCAACCCAGCGCCCCAGGTAAGCAACCCAGCACTCCAGGTAAGCAACCCAGCGCCCCAGGTAAGCAACCCAGCACTCCAGGTAAGAACCAGCGCCTCAGGTAAGCAACCCAGCACCCCTGGTAAGCAACCCAACGCTCCAGGTATGCAACCCAGTGCCACAGGTAAACAACCAAGGGGTGAGGAGTTTTGTCAAAAACTATAACCATTTTGGGGTACTAGTGGTGGTGGTGGTGGTGGTGATGGTGGTGGTGGTGGTGGTGGTGGTGGTGGTGGTGGTGGTGGTGGTGGTGGTGGTGGTGGTGGTGGTGGTAGATGAGTAAGACACTAAAGATAAAAGATAAAAAATTTATTTCTTTGCAAAGGTTATAATGTGTAATTACAATTTTGATTTGTGAAATACATACCTGGGCATTTCGGACAGTAGTTCAGCTAATGCGTTGCTTTATTGTCGAAACGTTTCGCCTGCGTAGCAGGCTTCTTCGGTTGAATACAGGCTATTATAACACTGGAGATGGTAGAAGAAATGGAGAAGTAATTTTAGGGTGATCAGTCTCTTAGTCATGATAGAATGTGATTAGTTACACAGCCAGGCTAAGGTAGTAGTGGTGGTGATTGTGGTGATGCTGGTGACATTAGTTCAGGTAATGGTGGTGGTGACTGGGGTAGTGGTGCTGGTTGGGGTGGTAATAGGGGTGGTTGTGGTGCTGCTTGAAGCACTGGTACAGGTAATGGTGGTGGTGCTAGTAGGGGAGGTGGCAGTCTCGTTAAGTTGAATTATTTACATATCACAAGAACTGTTTGGTTATTAAGTATTTTAGTCAGAAAAAGTTGCTACCATTATCATGTATTCTCTGGCAGTATTACCATTAATAAACTGTCTTTACAGTTATGTGATCATAGCATAACAACTCTCAGCTTGTTAGGTAAGACACATATGCAACAGTTAGGTATCTTTATTTCGAAACGTTTCGCCTACACAGTAGGCTTCTTCAGTCGAGTACAGAAAAGTTGATAGAAGCAGAAGATACTTGAAGACGATGTAATCAGTCCATCACCCTTAAAGTTTTGAGGTGGTCAGTCCCTCAGTCTGGAGAAGAGCATTGTTCCATAGTATGAAACAATATTGATCAATATTGTTTCATACCATGGAACAATGCTCTTCTCCAGACTGAGGGACTGACCACCTCAAAACTTTAAGGGTGATGGACTGATTACATCGTCTTCAAGTATCTTCTGCTCTATCAACTTTTCTGTACTCGACTGAAGAAGCCTACTGTGTAGGCGAAACGTTTCGAAATAAAGATACCTAACTGTTGCATATGTGTCTTACCTAACAACCTGTCGGTATTTTATACCATTTTAATGTTCAACTCTCAGCTTGTATATTCAATGGTGTGAAAAAAATCACAGTAAATTATAAGCTCATGGCCCAACCAATTTAACGAAGATTTTTTTATGTGAAGTGTAACGAAGATTTTTTTATGTGAAGTGTAACAGAATCGCATTAACGGTTTACAGTACCGACGACAAGTTGAGGAATAAGGAATATATCACTGGAGACAGTAGAAGAGGAGAGGTAATCTTGAGGTGATCTGTCCCTCAGTCTTCTATCGAGGCTGAGGGACACATGTGCAACACATAAGCGTTGCATATGTGCCTTATTCATCATCTTCAGGAGAAAGTGACATGATGGCATGTTTGCAGGTGTCGACGGCTGTGGTGGAACCTTACAATTCCATTCTCTTCACACACACGACACTGGAACACTGTGATGTCGAGTTCATGGTTGATAACGAAGCTATCTACGATCTCTGCCAGAAGGGTCTACACATCACCAGACCAACTTACACCAACCTCAACCGCATGATTGGTCAGGTGGTCTCCAGGTGAGTGTATCTAGAACAAGGTAGTTAGAAAGAGTGAGTGGAAACGAGGAAATGAAAATATCTCCATGTTTTTAAAGTACCTGAGTGTTAGTCGACTATTGCTGTAGGCATCGTAACACTGTTGCAGTATATATCTTAAAGCCAAGCTATGAAATAAGCTGAGATAAGATAGGTCTGTAGTTTAATACTGCCTGTCGTTCTCCTGTCTTAAATATTGGTAGTACATATGCTGTCTTCCACACCTCAGTTACCCTGTTACGATAGATGTGTTAGTGGCACACACAGTGCCTCTGCTTCCTCTCTCAGGATCCATGGTTTAACGGTGTAAAAGAAAAAAATCACTTTCTATTTCAGTATCACTGCCTCACTGAGGTTTGACGGAGCGCTCAACGTTGACCTGACAGAGTTCCAAACTAACCTGGTGCCCTACCCAAGAATACACTTCCCTCTGGTAAGTCGCTGCAGCAGGTCCGACATGATGGCTCTTTCCTTAAACCTTTTGTATTAAAAAAAAAACGATTTAATGACTCATTTTAAGATTAGTATGTTAATAATGTATGTGACGCTGCTGATACGATTCCTGCCTCACCTCACTTGTTAGTACTGATACATGGCATAGCTCCTGACGACGCTCCAGACTGCGAAAGTTCTAGAGCAAAAAGATTTCTATCCCCATATATATATATATATATATATATATATATATATATATATATATATATATATATATATATATATATATATATATATTATATATAGATATACATATAATATAATATAATTATATATATATAATATAATATATATTGATGCTGAAAAATCTGATCAAAGGGATTGGAGTTGTCTTCCTAGGATTAAACCTGTTTATATCCAGGCGCTGTATGACTTCTACGCTGGAATCAATAATAATAGTGATAATAAAATAATAATAATAATAATAATAATAATAATAATAATAATAATAATAATAATAATAATAATGATAATAATATGATGTACTGTATCTCCGTGTCTCGCCCCCAGGCCACGTACTCCCCGGTCGTGTCTACGGACAACGCCCAGCACGACAACTTCGACGTTCGTACAATCACCTCCAAATGTTTCGAACAGGACCAACAGATGGTAAGAATTTCCAGCGTACAAAAAGAAATTCTGTTTAATGAATCCCTTCCCCATTTTCCCCTCGAAAAATCCACGATAATATTACAGTTGTGTAAAACAATCACGATCAGTTCCGATTATTATAATCAAAAAGAAGCGCTAAACCCACAAGGATCATACAGCACTACAATCAGTTCGAAGTGGAACATTATGGTGACGTTTCGGTCTGTTCAGGACCATTATCATGTCACAATTGGATTTCAGTCTGCGTGTAGACCAATCCTAATTTATAATATATGGTGAATTTACATCTATAAACATGGCTTGCCTATAACTATGGGGAAAAATACAGTATATGTGTGGATTAGACCTTTTATTTAATGCATTTCGCTTTGAAAATGAACCTATAATGTTCTGTTTAGTGGTTTCATCAAGGGCGAAACGTTTGATTAATGAATGTCTTAATCTGATCGCGGGTTCTAACCCCACCCGTGGTGAGGTTAGAACCATAAGTGTCTTTCACCTGATGGAAGGTTCTTGATCCAGGGAACTGTAGCGGTTCTCTCCTTTCTTCGGGTCAAATCAAATTCCTCTTTAATACCCCACAACAGCCTGATGACTCCGTCTACGGGCTTAGCGCTTCCCCAAGAAAGTATTAATAGCAACATACTCCTCCTCTCACAGGTAAAGTGCAATCCGCTGGAAGGGAAGTACATGGCTTGCTGTCTCTTGTTCCGAGGAGATGTGGTTCCCAAGGATGTTAATGCCGCCATTGCAGAACTGCGAACCAAGAGAACCATCTCCTTCGTAGACTGGTGCCCCACCGGCTTCAAGGTAATTTTGAAACATTATAAATTCACAGAACGCTTGGAGTCAACCCATGGCAGGCGAGACCTGAAACTCTCAGGCTAGTGGTTAGCACACTGGCCTGCGATTTTTAGGTCTCATATACCATTGGTTTGAATTCCATCCCTTCTGTGATTGGTTTACAATCGTGTTATAAAGATCTCGTGAATTTGAAAAACCCTCTGTAGACAAAAGCAAAAGAATATAAGAACGGAGAAGCACTGGAGCAGTCTACTGGCCCATACTAGGCAGATCTTTCTCAAATCTAACTCTTCTAACTCTCTACTAAGAAAGTAGATGACTGTCATGAAGTAGAGGTGTATGGACATGAATGCACTGTCTCAGAATAGCTTTAATGAAGACTTTCTGGGACCTTAATCACTTCAAATGCATGTACTTGAAATGGTCAGGGGGACCCATAACCGAAACGTCTTCACTAGAGTGATGTCGAAATGAATACATTGATGTCGACTTGCCTCTTTGATAGCCCTCTAGTGATTACTTTTTTTTTCACGCAGGGAAATAAAATTAGTTCTTGATTTCATTGACATCAGTCATCGTCATCAAGGGACATAAGCCACGCTGCTTGGCTTTCTTGGAGTATCCTGGGTTATCAACTCCAGGATGACTCATCCGAAGAGTTTTTTCTCTATTTGCAATATATGACAGGGCTATATAAGCAACAGGGTTATGGAAGCAACAGCCTGGTTGAACAGGCAGCTAGCAGGTTAGAGAAGATAGAAATACCCTCGAAGCTGATCGTAAGTAACGTCTGTTGTCAACAAAGTTATGAAAAAGACGTACCTTGCAGCTTAAGCTTTTAATAAAACAATGTTTCGCCCTGAGTAGAGCTTTATGAAAAATTTTATAATACTCTACAATCACTCTTATAAGCATAATTTTAAAGGGGTGGACCGGAAAGCCAGCGGAAGGCCTCGGTTAGATGACCAAAAGATCCAGCTGCGGGTCATCACTAAGACCCACCTCAGCAAATAACTGTCTGTTTGCTGACAAACCTTACCTAACCTAACCTAAAACTCTACAGAGAGCGAAACGTTGTTCCAATATAAATCTGATCTAAAAATGTGTGTTTTCTCCATACACATTTTAATGTGATGTAAAACTTTTTGATCAACATTACTCTCGTGAGGTTATTTTTTTAAGGTGGGCATCAACTACCAGCCTCCCACTGTGGTTCCTGGCGGTGACTTAGCTAAGGTGGAGCGAGCAGTGTGTGTCCTCTCCAACACCACTGCCATCAAGGAAGCCTGGAAACGCCTTGACAGGAAGTTTGACTTGATGTTCTCTAAAAGAGCTTTCATTCACTGGTACGTCGGAGAAGGCATGGAAGAAGGTCAGTTTCCTTTCCCTAGATGCATGTGTGTGTGTGTGTTAACCTATTTGCAATTGCCTATTCCTTCCAGAAAGCATCACCTTGCAGGGGCTGGACTTCATCTTCTGATCCTTCAGCTTAATTTTCAATGTCGTTATGTTATTTATGAAGGTAGAGTATGTGTCGAGCTTGCCTTTGCTGTGTCCCCGTCCACTGTGCTTCCCTTATTGACGACTCATTCACCTTAGGTATTCTTCCTAACGTCTCAATGTTTTGCTTTAATAACTGTCATCTGTGTTACATTCATTCTGAATCTCAGGATTCTAAATTATTATATATATTCAGCGGGAAGAGTTGAGTCCATGAGGGACATACAGCGCCTGGAAAATGGGGAGGGGCGCAGTGATATTTTCTGGCGTCCCGTTCGTGGTTAAGCATCTACTGGCCTGATAACGGGATGCAAAGATAGTGTATACTGACAGTATGTAAATATGACACACGCACAATGCTGGTTATTTTTTTTTTTTGAAGACGCTTTGTTTACCAGGGGCTTCATCAGCTCACACAGAAAACAAAGACGTGGGTATTTATAATTAGAGACGGGTCCTAAGGGGAAATAATGAAGCCAGAAAGTCTAACATTTCCCATCCAGTAGTTATCAATGTAAATACTGTATAGTGATTTAATACTATTTCTTAACATATACATTAACAACATTACCATAGGTATTTTTCACATAATATATAATAATTGCTCTCAGGATCATTGATACGTCATCTATAAAATCTTGATTATCTTCGTCAGGCGTCAGAAAGTGTCCAGGAAGGTCTGTTGTGTGTATATTAACCTCAGACAGACCTATTGTACAGATACCAGATTTTTCTTAATTTGTAGTGCTCAAAAGTTATTTTTTAAGCTGTTAAGTGAGGATCAAGCACTAAAATTGAAGCGAGAGTAACACAGCTCTCTAGATGGTAAACAAAGAAGAAGAATTACAGACAAGACTCTATAGGAGAGATCGAGCCTTCTAGCCGGCCACCCCACAACTTGACCTCCTATCTAAAGAACCCATGGTTCCAGACTTATGGGACACTATGTATAACTAGACAGAAGGGTAAATTCCAAGTAGATGGAAATGGGAATGGGATGTGAAGAGGGTTTCTGTTTTTGGACTATATATATAGATATTCTCATTCTTTTTTTTTTAGTTTTTGTCTATATGTGGTTTACCATATCACTAATCAGCGTTTATGACACATGAAAAAAATCAAAGTTGAAATACTAGACAATAAATAAAAAAAAATTATGAACCATCCCATTATATATTTTTTATTCTTTGTTTTAATTGTATTAATTTATGTACATAGTTTATATTTGCTTTCAATATCCTCATAGATGTTGTTAATATGATGTATTTTTTTTTCCAATATTTATTGAATTTCCAAGTGATTATTATCTGGAGTTTCTGAGAATGAACACACACACTGTACAGTCCTTGCATCTGTGTTGTGTTCAGTCTCGCCGTCACTCTATCATCACAACACCTACGTCCCTCACTCCCTCACCTGCTTTCACATATTCTCACTCACACACTCGTTTTCACATGTACTCTCTCACATTCACACTCGCTTTCTTACTCTCCCGCTCGCTTTCACGTTTAACCTCACTCATACACACACACACTCACTTCCACATATATTCTCACTCACACACACTCACTTATATATATACATATTCTCACTCATACACACACTCGATTCCACACATATGTTGTTACTCATACACACTCACTTCAATATATATTCACACACACACACACACACACACACACACACACATACGAGGAAAGGTTAAGGGAAATCGGACTGACGACACTGGAGGACAGAAGGGTCAGGGGAGACATAATAACGACATACAAGATACTGCGGGGAATAGACAAGGTGGACAGAGATAGGATGTTCCAGAGAGGGGACACAGGGACAAGGGGTCACAACTGGAAGCTGAAGACTCAGACGAGTCACAGGGACGTTAGGAAGTATTTCTTCAGTCATAGAGTTGTCAGCAAGTGGAATAGCCTAGCAAGTGAAGTAGTGCAGGCAGGAACCATTCATAGTTTTAAGAAGAGGTATGACAAAGCTCAGGAAGCAGAGAGAGAGAGGACCCAGTAGCGATCAGTGAAGAGGCAGGGCCAGGAGCTGAGTCTCGACCCCTGCAACCACAATTAGGTGAGTACAATTAGGTGAGTACACACACACACACACACACACACACACACACACACACACACACACACACACACACACACACACACACACACACATACACACACACTCGCTTCCACATATACTCTCTTACTCACACATATTTCATTATGCTTAACAATTCGCAAACAGGCGAAATTATTTGCAAACATTGTCTCGACGTCCACAGCAGGACTCAAAGCTGCTAACTTTGTAACAGAGTAACCAGTACTTTACCACGTGCTTCTGGGGACTAGCTTCATGGTAAAGTACTGGTTATGCTGATACAGAGTTTGCAGGTTCGAGTCCTGCTGTGGATGTAGAGACAATGTTTGTATATTTCATTATATCATAATAACACCTTCACACACACACTCCTTCAGTTACACATTCTCCCCACTAACACTCTCCATTATGTCTCCCCAACACCTATTTCCCACACTCCCTCGCAACACCTCCAGGAGAGTTCGCTGAGGCTCGGGAAGACACTGCCGCCTTGGAGATGGACTACTACGAAGTGGAAGCAAGTTCAACAGAACCGGGGGAGTCTGAGAACGAGGACTACTGAACTCTCCAGTTTTCATCTCCCCTTCTCTCTCCTTCTCTCTTGGATCCTCATATACCCGACCCACTGGTGATTACAAAGAGTGACCTGCAAATGTCCCCACACGAGTACAATACTGGTTGCTCTCACCCCTTACACCTGTTAAATCTACCCACCTACCCAATCACTATCTTCACAGAAGAATGTTCCTGTGATCATTATTTATTTTATGTGCTCAACACTATGGCTTTCAGCTAGTCACTTATGCATTTTTTTCAGAACTAGCAGAGTTAAACGTAAATCCTGGTTTTAATGTGTTGAGTATCATTAACAGCGGTATAACATACAGCCACACCTGCAAGATTCACATGTGTTCACGTGGAGAATGTTCACCCCACATGCACACGTTTAACACACATATCACATAGCATACTCTATAAGGAAAAAACATTTTACAGAATAATATTATACCGGGACAAATCGCTCTACATAGAGAGAAACATCATGCAAAGTAAGACCTGTTCTTCAACATGTGACCTTCCTTCATTATTGTCGCTACATAGCGTCGCTACATAGTATCATGTGACCTCTCTTCCCTAGTAGCTTTGTAAAAAATACGCAGAACTAACCAAATGGAGGTAGCTGCTGTCTGGGCTCCACTTTCACAGTGTAAATAATGAAGAAATGTCCACAGGATGAAGCAGATCATGCGAGGGGAACCAGAGTGAGTTGATGAAAGTTGGGAAGAAAGTAATGTTAGGTTCATGACCTAATTCTTAATTTTCAGCAAAATTCATTTTTACTACAAATATACATATGTGAATACGTACCCAAATACGTACTCATATACAACTCATGCATATTTACATACTTTGCATATATACATACACAAAGACTTTCTACATCTTCAAAAAAGGCTTTGAAATTATTACTACGAACCAGTGTCATCATATCACATCATCGAGATGTGTTCTGTCTCTCAGTGTATATACACCGAGAGTATATACACTGAGAGTATATACACTGAGAGTATATACACTGAGAGTTTACTATAATCCATATTTTAGAGAGTAAGGTATTCTTAACTGCTGGTGAACAGGCTAAATACAGCCTTAATGACCGTCTTATAGTCCAGATTATAAACTTCCTGAACCATTGTCACTATAGCCAGTGAGCAACGTTGTTAAGGACGAGTGTAGAGTAAGCATGCACAAGTTTGAGCAATCCACTATGCAACTTTCACGAGTGTGTTATTGCAAGTTGCAACTCCAGCATCTAGTGATTCAACATTGTTAATGCAACACTGACAAAACAGTTTGTGTTCATCACTGCATAATGATTTTCAGTATAATTTTTTTCATTGTTTCTAACTTGCATGAGGTGACGGTATTTTATATATATATATAAATAAAAAAGAAAAAATTGATTGTATTTTATACGAAAAGAAACAAATCTTGATATTACTTAATATTTTTTAGTTAAATACAACTTCTTGTGTAAATTTTAGCCCTTGACTTTCTCTGTAGATTCTTCCTTTCTCATGCATTATTAAATGCTCCAAACTTCACAACACTAGTGACTTGACCTGATCTTTATCTCCTCATCTCATTATCTCTTCTCCTTTCTTATATTTTCTTGCCTTTCCTGTCTTCTGTCCAGGTGGGTTCTGAACTGTGGGGTTTTGTCCCTCAGGGATTTTGTCCTACCTCCGTGGACTCTCCTGTAGCACTCCTCTGTTCTCATCTTCCTTAGACTACCTCCGATACTACTACTACTACTACTACTACTATTTCTTCACTTACATACCACTCTGTGACGCCTTATATATATATTGCATAGACAGATATGAGAGATCTCAATACAAAATTGAGGGGGGACTGATACCCTGAACACACGTAGTGTGATGCTTCACTAACGTCTTGGGAATGTCTTATGAAGACTCAACATCACTGCCACACTTACCATGCTTGTCACTGTGTACTGCTGTATAAAAACAATGCACAGAACATACATTCTTTTGTCAACATTTCTAGAGTATCCCAGTGTCACATAAATGTTGTAAATTGTGTGCAACGAAAGATACTTATATACAGGAACTGTACATAAGTGTCTTTTCTCAACATGTTAATATTACCATAGCATTCACTTACTGTAAATCTTTGTATTGAAAGGAGGCGATTAGCCTCACTTTTCGTGATTAGCCTCACTTTTCGTGATTAGCCTCACTTTTCGTTAACCATTTTCTAGATTTTTTTTCTTAAAGGTGTGTGTAAACACGCATGAAAGAGTTCAGATATTTCTGTTCTCTTATTTCATCACTGTGATATTTTTTGCAATATTAATTCTTTCGATATTTTAATCTTTGATGAATAAGATACATGTGCAAAAACTTGGGTATCTTCATTGCACATGTATCTTGCAACCCGTCGGTAGTGCACGCAGTCAGTAATATAAACCACGGAACGGGAGGGGATTGAATATATGACAGGTGAGTTTTAAAATTCCAGGGGACCTTGTTGAGTGGTTAGCACACTGGCCTGGAGTTTCAGAAATCACTTGCCATTGGTTCAGTCCCCACCCGTTCCATGGTTTGTTTGCAATCCTGTTATTACGATTTAATGAGTGAATCAGTAATATAAATTAATGGCTTGGTTTATTATTTCAGGGGAGTTTTCAGAGGCCCGGGAAGATTTGGCAGCCCTGGAGATGGACTACGAGGAAGTGGAGGAGAACCCTGGCTCGGAGGAGGAAGAAGAAGGTGAAGGGTACGAGTACTAACCTGAGAGAGAATTATCAACACTTGAAACCACTTTCTTCGTACTAAAAAGCGAGTACCAACAGCTGTGACGGGTCAGAGACCGACCTCAGGTTGACAGATCGAGAAATCATACAGTAGTAGACTGCGGGTTAAAACCGGCAGCTCTCATGCTGGATGAATGCTGTTACCCCTCTGCATTACGAGCACTAAACAACTTGGCAATCAACAGTTCTAGAGAGAAAGGATGTTTTAGTATGGTGTTCCCGCATGTCACAAGACAGAAGGAATCATAGGTGGTAGGTCACAGAATACTTTAATTGGAGTAAAGTCCTTTACTGATAATCCTGAATGCCTCAGCTTGTAATGAAGGTATGATTATGGCAATCATTCATTCCGTCTCATTCCTCAGGATGAAGTGACAGCTGCCGTTGTTACTTCAGTAAAGAATAAGAACATAAACCCATAGCTTCCTAAATAAGAAAAAGGATAAACGGTTTTTAAGCCTGTTCTGATACAATTTATACAATACTCATTATAATCTCAGTGTATTTATTCATTACTCTATTGTTTTTACATCGGTACATGAATGCAGCTAAATAGGTCACTAAATTCTGGCATAATTGTCCTGTTATCCACCATCTTGAGATGATGGATGCAGAGACAACGTACCAAAAATATTTTAGTCCAGTGTAGACAATGTATAGCCTTATTTAGAAGACATTGCTATTAATTACTCTTTTTTCAGGTATTTATCATTACGGTTTTAACAACTAGACACCCATCATCTCCCATTTCTATAGGTTTATTAATATTTCTCAGCAGTTCATATGCTTAGAAAATACATTATTATTATTACAATCAAGGGGAAGCGCTAAACCCGGAGGATTATACAGCGCCTGGGGGGGGATGTGGAAGGCATTCAGGCTTAATTTGGGGAACTGGAGCACAGATCCAATTCCCTAAATCAAGAGCCCCTCACCAACATCAAGGAACCTTCCTTGAGGGGTTAGAAAATACAAATGATTCCGATGATGCTAATACTGTACAGTATTAATGAAAGCAGTGTATCCCATATGTGGCTTCAGCGTTATAAATAGAATCTTGTAATTACTATCCTATAGCTGTATAAATATATAATTGTTCTGGCGATAAATGAATGACATATATGTAAATTATATATATATATATATATATATATATATATATAATATATATATATATATATATATATATATAATATATATATATATATAAATTATGTAGTTAAATATTCATTAAGTTTTTCACAGTACAGATCAGTCTTATTTACATTGTAAATTTAGCTAATCTCTGATTATCAAAGTACCACTGTAAATGCTTAGTCTCTTCTACAGTAAATAGGTTCCAGTATGTTGGATATAACTATGTAATATTTGCCTTTAGATACGTTGCTGAACGATGTTATGTGATCCAATTTCTGCCTGTTACACGGTCTGTGATATTATCCGTCCAGATTTTGGTAAATAAAACTGTTTTGGTTATTTATTTATGTTTTTAGAAGAATAGAAAGACACAATACCGTGACTGGAACAATCCACTAATAATAAATTAAAGCTTTATCTCTAAATTGTTTGGTAGTTTAATGTTTAAAATTTAATTTAAAAACAATAGTTTATCACTGCCAGCGGCTAGTCAAAACAACGCTACATTAACATTTATGCAAAACAACGACGGAGGGAGTTGAATGACAGCTCTAGGCCTTTCATGTCGCAATCAACACATCTTCAGACGCCTGATACTTCAAGGGACTACCTGGACATCCCACTTCTGCAACATTGCAAGCTCCTGAAGATGTGTTAATTGCAACACGAAAAGCCTAGAACGATTAATCAACTCCCCCCGTGGTTGATTTGCATCCTGTATCGCTTGTTCGCGATTATTGCATAATGAAAATACAAGGCATTTCACTCGTAGGAGACCCCTAGTTGGTACTACTCCCATAGTTACAACTGTCTTGTTTGCATATTACGTCTGTAGTAAACGATAATTCGGGGACTCCTACGAGTGAAACACCCTGTGTATATTACTGCACTAAATACAGTCACACTTTCCCACTGTTGATAGTTGCTTATCTCTGTTTTTCCTGCCTATGCCTGGCCGCTTGATGTACAATATCTTTCATGACTAAGGCATACAAGCTCTCTGAAGCCTCTCGGGTGAATTAAAATTTCTTTAAGCTGGGTCAGGTATCTATTTCCAAAGCACTTTTTTTCAAGTTATGTCGAACTTATGTTTCTTGAGAAAGGAGTCACAATACTTTGGTTGGAACAGTTCGAAAATAGATAAATGGTTCAGAGAACCGACAGATTGATAAATTAGACACATGTGCAACATTCGGGTATCTTTATTGAGGAAATGTTTCGCCACACAGTGGCTTCATCAGTCCAATATAAAGAAGAATGGTGAAGATTAGAAGGAGTTTGAGGTAGTCAGTCCTGGAGTCGACTCCAAGCTGAGGGACGGATTACCTCAAACTCCTTCTGATCTTCACTATTTTCTATTGTATAGGACTGATGAAGCCACTGTGTAGCGAAACATTTCCACAATAAAGATAACCAAATGTTGGACATGTGTCTAGTTCATCAATTCGAAAATAACCCACATTTAGGAGAGGAAACGTGTAACAACGTTTCGGTGCCTTCCAGGACCATCATCACTGGCTTAAGAGCTCACAGTTAAGAAATTTAATTATTTTAATTCCCAGGTTAGGTAAGTTAATCAGGAAACAGAAATGTTTCCTGACGCGGGTCTTAGATGACCCGCCGTTGGACCTTTTGGTCATCTGACCGAGGCCTTCCGCTGGCTTACCAGTCCACCCCTTTAAAAATTATAGTCACATAACCACTTTCTAGTTATTCTTTAACTTCCCAAATCCATCTCCACCTGATACATTTGTATTTTTTTTTCATTGTAAGCAAATTACTATTGTGTATACAAGAATTTTTCTCTCGGATGCATCTCGTTTTAATATTTTCAGTTACAGCCTCTTTATAAGAAAAATACCCATTGATTTTTCTAGACATTTTCAAAAGCAGTTTTAGAAGCATTTTCAGGAACAATTTTAAGAGTAACTTCAAAAACAGCTTCAAAATCAATATTCCATCTGGAACAGTGATACCACAGTGTAACAAGACACTGCATTAGACTACACTGTAACACTGTATCGCTACTCTGTACAGTTAGATGTGTAATAAACAGTAAATCTTACTATTATTTTATTAATCATTTTATTGATTTTATTATTTGTTTAAAGAAAACGGGGGAAGGGGAGTCTTAGTCGTCTCGATGCCGGTGAACGATTCGTGTTCCAAAGTATTGACCAGCCATGAGGGTTTAGAAAGAAGTTGCCTTTGGCTACGAATGTGATGTAAAGTTAGTCCGTTTCCACTTTTAGTATTAACGACAATTGTCTCAGTTTACACCAGAAGTCACTCAGTTTACACCATATTATTATTATAATTATAATCAAGGGTAAGCGCTAAACCCGTAGGATTATACAGCTCCTGGGGGGGGGATGTGGAAGGCATTCAGGCTTAATTCGGGGAACTGGAGCACAGATCCAATTCCCTAAATCAAGAGCCCCTCATCAACATCAAGGAACCTTCCGTGAGGGGAGTTTACACCATCATAAGTCAACGTGTACCAAGGACCATCTGCGTTATTGATAGTGAGGTTATTTAGGTATAGACACACATTAATAGTTACATAAATGTGTAAGTTATCCAGGATAACCACGAAAAGGTCGAAGTTAATTATCTCCACTGAGGTCTTTGTAATATCTTGTTTAAATCTTATATGTTAAATAGCTAAGTAATTCAACTGAGTGAATCACGACCCTTGTACCAGCCTCGTCATTGGTATTACCATCACCTTGTACCAGCCTCATCACTGATATTACCATCACCTTGTACCAGCCTCATCGTTGATATTACCATCACCTTGTACCAGCCTCATCACTGATATTACCATCACCTTGTACCAGCCTCATCACTGATATTACCATCACCTTGTTCCAGCCTCATCACTGATATTACCATCACCTTGTACCAGCCTCATCGTTGATATTACCATCACCTTGTACCAGCCTCATCGTTGATATTACCATCACCTTGTACCAGCCTCGTCACTGATATTACCATCACCTTGTACCAGCCTCATCACTGATATTACCATCACCTTGTACCAGCCTCATCATTGGTATTACCATCACCTTGTACCAGCCTCATCGTTGATATTACCATCACCTTGTACCAGCCTCATCGTTGATATTACCATCACCTTGTACCAGCCTCATCATTGGTATTACCATCACCTTGTACCAGCCTTATCGTTGATATTACCATCACCTTGTACCAGCCTCATCGTTGATATTACCATCACTTTGTACCAGCCTCATCGTTGATATTACCATCACCTTGTACCAGCCTCATCGTTGATATTACCATCACCTTGTACCAGCCTCATCGTTGATATTACCATCACCTTGTACCAGCTCTCATCGTTGATATTGCCATCACCTTGTACCAGCCTCATCGTTGATATTACCATCACCTTGTACCAGCCTCATCGTTGATATTACCATCACCTTGTACCAGCCTCATCGTTGATATTACCATCACCTTGTACCAGCCTCATCGTTGATATTACCATCACCTTGTACCAGCCTCATCACTGATATTACCATCACCTTGTACCAGTATCATCACTGATATTACCATCACCTTGTACCAGTATCATCACTGATATTACCATCACCTTGTACCAACATCATTGTTATTACCATCACCTTGTACCAGCCTCATCATCGGTATTACCATCACCTTGTACCAGCCTCATCATCGGTATTACCATCACCTTGTATCAGCCTCATCATCGGTATTACCATCACCTTGTACCAGCCTCATCACTGATATTACCATCACCTTGTACCAGCCTCATCACTGATATTACCATCACCTTGTACCAGTATCATCTGTATTACCATCACCTTGTACCAGCCTCATCATCGGTATTACCATCACCTTGTACCAGCCTCATCACTGATATTACCATCACCTTGTACCAGCCTCTTCATTGATATTGCCATCACCTTGTACCAACATCATCTGTATTACCATCACCTTGTACCAGCCTCATCATCGATATTACCATCACCTTGTACCAGCCTCATCATCGGTATTACCATCACCTTGTATCAGCCTCATCATCGGTATTACCATCACCTTGTACCAGCCTCATCACTGATATTACCATCACCTTGTACCAGTATCATCACTGATATTACCATCACCTTGTACCAGCCTCATCACTGATATTACCATCACCTTGTACCAGCCTCATCACTGATATTACCATCACCTTGTACCAGCCACATCACTGATATTACCATCACCTTGTACCAGTATCATCACTGATATTACCATCACCTTGTACCAGCCTCATCACTGATATTACCATCACCTTGTACCAGTATCATCACTGATATTACCATCACCTTGTACCAGCCTCATCACTGATATTACCATCACCTTGTACCAGCCTCATCATTGGTATTACCATCACCTTGTACCAGCCTCATCACTGATATTACCATCACCTTGTACCAGCCTCATCACTGATATTACCATCACCTTGTACCAACCTCATCATTGGTATTACCATCACTTTGTACCAGCCTCATCATTGGTATTACCATCACCTTGTACCAGCCTCTTCATTGATATTACCATCACCTTGTACCAACATCATCGGTATTACCATCACCTTGTACCAGCCTCATCATCGGTATTACCATCACCTTGTACCATCGGTATCCTAAGGAACAAGTATGGGAGACCCCACTGGAAATGAGACAGACACCTCGGTGACGCACTGACTTTACTGGGTTATCCTGGGTGGTTAACTCTCCCCTGGGTTAAAAAACACAACAAATCATATCTTTTCTAGGCCTATTGAGAGAGTTGAAATACAGCTCTGCGTCTTGAGGCTCTCAAGGTAAAAAATATTCTTCTTATAAATGGTATACAATATCGACAAGTTGAAGGATAAAATATGAGTGCAACACTTAGGTATATTTATTGCTTCATCAGTCGAATTACAAAGGAAATTTCAGTAATTTAGACATTGAAGCGGAGAGGTAATTTTGAGGTGATCAGTCCCTTGGCCTTAATAGTAAGTTTATTTAGGTACAGTTACAATAAATACGGTTACACAAATTATTATAGTTAGTACATGTGTAAATTAAATAGGATAACCCATAAAAAGTCAGACAACGTGACATATTTCCATCCCAGGTTCTTATGTCTCCTGCGTGCATTGCAGCACAAGTCACCTGAGTTCCTGCGCACAGGGACGTCTTCTCTAGGATCGCACTGCGATTGAAACACGTCTGGTTAGCTAACCCACATCACATTTATCATTATCACGGGGATCACTAAATCCGTAGGAATTATACAGCGCCTGTGTGGGGGGGTTATGGAAGGCATTCAGGTTTAATTCAGAGAACTGGAGCACACATCCAGTTCCCTAGATCAAGAGCCCCCTTGAGGGATATAAACATCACAGTAATACGATTTCTCACATTGCATGCAGTCTACCCTCCGTCTGTTTTCTTTCGTAGTGGTTATAATGAACATTCCAACCGAGAGATGGCGTGGCTAGCACCCCAGCCTGCGGCGCCTCAGTGTGTGTATGACCTGTGTAGTGTAAGGGTGTATGTGTGCGATCACTTAATGTGTTTATTGAAGGGGTTAGCTTCTATAGCCCCAACCCATACCATGGGATGAGGGAAGGAAAATTACCTCTAAGGACTGTACTTCAGAATTTTATTAATCATGTGGATAGTTTAGAAGGCAAGAGGAACGAGGGTGATGATCAGTACGAGCTGGAGTTCCAGGTGAGAATGATACCCAGCCGTCGCTGCCCACATACCTTGATCTAGTTCATACCCGTGCCTCTCACGCACATTTAAACGTTTCCCGGATGCCCTCCTTCATCCATGTGCTCCGTGATCATCTCAGTGGGTCATGTCAGGCTTCAGTACCTGGAGGATCACGTCCATCACTGGGGAACCACAAGTAGTTGAATATTTAATATCGATGGGTATTAAATATTTATGGAGCTTCCTAACGCAGTGATGGATTGCTGAGTGACTGTTTAAGACTGACTTACGGAGGTGTGGGTATGTGGGTGTGGAGTGGGTGAGGGTTGGACCTGAACAGGTAACGACACAGGTGGGCTTAAGTAGGCCTCCCTAAGCCTTCCTGCACGTGGTCTTTGCCTTCCCTTTTTTTCCAGACCTCTTGAGCATTTCTTCAGTCTGATGATGGCATGTGTGTATAAGAACATAACAATGGAGAACACTGCAGAAGGTCTACTGGCCCATACAAGGCAGGTCCTTATCAAAACGACTTCTACCCAAAGCCTGAATAGCCTGCATTAACATTTTTTCCTCTGATTCTTCAATAAATAAAAAGATAATGAAACATTATAAGAACCTTTAACTTTAATAATAATAATAATAATAATAATAATAATAATAATAATAATAATAAAAAATATCGAAAACAACAATAATTCATTTTTTTTTTTTTTTTTTTTTTTTTTTTTTTTTTTTTTACTATTTTTGACGAATTAATGCAATGATTCCAATAAATTCCTAATTTGTTTGTTAACGGTAAATTATATACATTAAACCCAAGAAAACCCAACAGATTGGCTCATTTCCATTGTGATTATTCTTTAGATACTGTTTATAAATATGTATGGAAATAAAGCTGATAGTTAATACCTGTGTGGGGAAATAAAGCTGATAGTTAATACCTGTGTGGGGAAATAAAGCTGATAGTTAATACCTGTGTGGGGAAATAAAGCTGATAGTTAATACTGTGTGGCGAAATATAACGATTTAATACCTAGGGAAAATAAAGCTGATAGTTAATACTCTTGTGGGAACTTAAGCTGATAGTATACTGTGTGGGAAATAAAGCTATATTTTAATCAGAGTCCGTAAACTAAAAATCAAAAAAAGTCAACAGTATAACGCGACTCCTTATTAGCAACGTTTCGCTCACATAGTGAACTATATCAAGTCACAACCAGACGAAACGTTTCGCTCCTGGGATCCTGTAGTAAGTTATTTAGCTACAGGTATACATAAATACAATTATCATACATAGTGTAAATTACATAAGGTAACCCATTGGGGTCCTTGACTGGGTTTATATAAAAAAAATTGGCTGATACCAATACTCCAGTTTAGGCTGATACCAATGTTATCAAAGTTAGCCAATACCCATCGATGCCAATACCATCAAAATTAATCGATACCATTTTAGACCCCAGGGACATGTATCATGTCCTCTTTGTATTTTGCATCTCATGGATTCCAGTGGAAATAAATAACTTAATCTGATTTTTTTGGATTATCTTACTATGTATGTTAATTGTATTTACGTGTACCTGTGCCTAAATAAACATACTTATCTCTTTTCCAACTAATCAAAGAAGTCAGTTGTGTTGACGAAAAAAGTGTATGCAAATTATTATATTTCTCTTTGGTCATAAATTTCGTATTATTACTGATGCACATCGACCGTAATGGAAATAAATCGCACTGTATTTCACCCTCAATTTATGCATGGGACTGTAATATATTGCAACTGCATAGATGTGTAACAGTCATGTATGGTGAAAGTTTGCTTTTAATATTCCTGATGAATGACCCATAGACAGAAAATGTCTCCACAGGACCACAAAGATTTTAAAGTCGAGACAGAGGATTGTTTCTCTCTCTCTCAGGCTTTAGCGTTTGGTTTTGATAATAATAAACCTACCTCTCTCTCTCTCTCTGTCTCTGTCTCTGTCTGTCTGTCTGTCCTGTCTGTCTGCTCTCTGTCTCTCTGTCCTGTCTCTGTCTGTCTCTCTCTGTCTGTCCTGTCTGTCTCTCTTTCTGTCTCTCTCTCTGTTTTCTCCTCTCTCTGTTCTCTCTGTTCTCTCTCTCTTTCTCTCTCTCTGCTCTCTCTCTCTCTCTCTCTCTTCTCTCTCTCTGTCTCTCTCCTTCTTCTCCTCTCTCTCTCTCTTTCTGTCCTCTCTCTCTGTCCTCTCTCTTCTCTCTCTCTTCTCTCTCTTCTCTCTTCCTCTTTCTTCTCTCTCTCTCTGTCTCTTCTCTCTCGTCTTCTCTCTCTCTCTCTCTCTCTTCTCGTCTCTTCTTCTCTCTCTTTCTCTCTCTCTCTTTCCTCTCTCTTCTCTCTACTCTCTCTCTTCTCTCTCTCCTCTCTCTCTCTCTCTTCTCTCTCTCTCTCTAGCTGTTTTCAAGAAAGTTATATACATTCTTCATGACGCAAATTATTAATGGCAGAACAAAAAAAATCCTTTTTTTGCACATTTTCCCTTCTACCACTGATCGACTTACAGCCGTTATTCCATATATATTTTATTATTATTTTGGTCGAGAACCCGGCAAACCCATCCTTGTTTACATACTGTAATAGAGTAAAAAGAAGATGAGCATTTATCTAAGAATCATAATTCTTAAGATTTTCTCCTTTAGGGAGACATTTTCATTAGACCCGATTTAAATCCACTGGGATCCCATATATCAACTAGGGATGTGCCAAAGTATCGGTATGGATCTAATATTGTGTATCGGTATCAGCAAAAAGATTTGGTATTAACGAAAACACAAACTGGCGCCTCGTATTACCTAAAAAATGCGCCATTATATATTAACGAGAAAATAGTGGGGTTTACCTGGAGTTTACCTGGAGATGGTTTCGGGGGTCAACGCCCCCGCGGCTCGGTTTGAGACCATGGTGGGATGGGGGGCTTATAAAAGGAGTGGGGATCTATTAAGGTTTCAACGAAAAAAAAAAGCTCTACATCAACAGCCTGATGGATCAGGCAGTCATCAGGACCCTTGAGAGAAAAAAAAAATACCCGACACATGTCACAGGTAAATCACAGGTAAAAATAGCTGGGTTGACAAGACCAGCACAGAACTTCTAGTACATGATCAAGAATAAATATTGCATATTTTAAACCTGCGTGTATTGACTGGTGGCTCAGACTGCATAACACTGCCTGATATGAGGAAGGTTCATAGGGTATTAAATGCCCAGGGAGGGGCAAGGCCGCGGGCAGGCCCCTCCCCCCTTTGCCTCCCTTCCCTCCCCCCCCCTACAAACAAAACTGCCCGCATTAGTATTCAGTAGATGTGTTCTTACCGTAACTTGCTGCATCCTTGCTTGAGGCTCTGGTCCAAATGATTTACACACACACAAATACACACACACACATCACACACACACACACACACACACACACACACACACACACACACACACACACACACACACACACACACACACACACATGCCGAATAGGTAAAACTGGTCAATTAGAAAGAACTCGTTTAAAATTAAGGCCTTTTTAAAATTTTCTATTATACGTTTAAAGATATATCTTTTTCATTTACGTTAATGTAAAAATTAATGGTTTTATACGAAAGGAACCTTAGAAAATTTACCTAACCTTATTGTAACAAGCACAATTTAATTTAGCCTAATCCAACTAAATATATTTTAGATAAGTTTGCAATTTAATAAATAAGCACAATGAAATGTACTTTTTTCGTTAGGTTCAGAATGTTTTTTTGCAAAATTATTGCATACACAAATTTTCGCTTGCCTTTTTCGGCAAGACGAGCGTATTATTGTAACCACGAACGAGTGGCATTTAAGACACTGCGACTAGCCAAGGACTCGAACCCATGTGGTTTTGGCGTGCCTCATGGTGAGCGAAAGTCACATGACGCTCTAACCCACAGGACCACCAAATCCTTTGGTGGTCCTGTGGGTTAGAGCGTCATGTGATTTTTCCCTCACCATGAGGCACGCCAAAACCACATGGGTTCGAGTCCTTGGCTAGTCGCAGTGTTGTTATTGTTTGTGTGTGTGTGTGTGTGTGTGTGTGTGTGTGTGGTGTGTGTGTGTCCTCATCCACTTGTTTCCGTGGTTCAAAAAGAAGAGGATAATGATTTCTTGCTTCGTTAACTATATGAGTTTGAGGGGAGAGATGAACTCTAGCTCTTGACCCTTATACAAGGGGGGATGTCTTCGTGCAGGTGAACGACTCTTGATCCGAGTAATCGAGACATGAGCTTCACAGTGAATCAAACCTGAAGTCTCCCAGCTCAGGCTGGCACTACTGAAGTCTCCCAGCTCAGGCTGGCACTACTGAAGTCCCCCAGCTCAGGCTGACACTACTGAAGTCTCCCAGCTCAGGCTGACACTACTGAAGTCTCCCAGCTAAGGCTGACACTACTGAAGTCTCCCAGCTCAGGCTGACACATCTCGCTTCTAGCACTACCTCGCCTGGACTTACAGGTACACCACACTGGGACAGACAGGAGAGTACTTGGGAAATTCACCCCGAGGTTATCACTTTCCAGTCTAATTTAAAGACTGTCGTGTATTATTTGTGTGTACAAGTCAAGGGATGTAGAGACTCTCCCAGCTCTACACTCCTTCCCGGACAAGGAAAGGCGAGGAAGAAATAGCAAAGGAGACGAAGAAGAAAGGCATAAAAATAGTGTAAAGAAGGAGCAAGAAATTGAAACGGAATGAGTTGAAAAGAGGAGAATGAGTTGAAGATAAAGGCAAGAATAAGCGTAAGAATAAAGGAACACTGCAGCAGGCGTACTGGCCCATAGAAGGCAGGATGTAATGGTCGAAAAGGAAGGAATGTATGGGGAAGGAGGACGACAGTAAGCCATGGAGGAGAGGAAGAGTTGGGAGGATGATTACACAGTGTAACGCGGTAAACCCGTGTGGGTCATTCAAGCCAATTACCAGTGAAGACTTGATCCTCTCTCCGCTGACAACCACGCTCTCTAAC